GCCTGACAACAATGCAAACTTTGATAAGTAGTTCTCGATAATCACTTCTCAACAATTATTTATTATTACAGTTTAACATTATAAAATTAACAAAAATAATATAAAACTCATATTTTGGCAAAATAGGCACATGGCAGCCGAAAACCGTATATTCCTTTCCTGTTCTCCCGCCCCTTGGTGCATTGTGTCCAAAAATTGGGACTTTTTTAAAATGCCACAGGACAAATTGTTAAAAAGCGGTACGTCTGGTCACCCTATCTAAGATGCCAATAGCCCTACCATTATAACCATAGCAAGATATGCATCATAACCTCAACAAGGTTAAGTATTATTAAATAATAATAAAAGCTTATTTTAATTTTTAGATTAAAAATAGACTGAATTATGTATAAATTTTTATCAAACAAAAGAGATAAAGAGGGTGGTGCCTGTGGCTCAGTGAGTAGGGCACTGGCCCCATATACCGAGGGTAGTGGGTTCAAACCTGGCCCGGCCGAACTACAACCAAAAAAATAGCCTGGCGTTGTGGCAGGTGCCTGTAGTCCCAATTACTCGGGAAGGCAAGAGAATCGCTTAAGCCCAGGAGTTGGAAATTGCTGTGAGCTGTGTGACGCCACAGCACTCTACCTAGGGCAATAAAGCGAGACTCTTATCTCTACAGGAAAAAAAAAAAAAACCAAGAAGAGAGAAAGACTCAGAGAGATTACAAAATTGGCCCAGACAACTAGCGATTACATGATTTAACTGTGCCAATTCTCTCCTTATTCCAAAGCTACTTCCAAAATGTAACTCAAACCTGGCTGATCAGACACACCTGGTAAACTTTTTAAAATATGCATTTCCAGTTGACTTTGATAACACGCTAATGAAGAAAACATTTAACTATCATAAAAAACAGTAAAACTATGATTTCAAACCTTTGTGACATTAGTTCGCAAGCTCAAATTCTAATTAGAATTACTTAAATATCTTACAGCCTCAGATCAATTAAATCAATATCTCTTGGAATATGTACAAAGCATATTAATTTCTGAAGCTCCCCAGAGGCCTCAATTTGTGTTAACCAATGTTGAAAACCACACAACTGCCATGCAAGTATTCTACAAGTAGTAGAAAATAATCTACTTATATTTCTAAGAAGAAATGCTTCAACACACCCATACAGAAAAATGTCCTCCTATCACTACTAATTCAAGAAAGTCAATTAATATAGTTTAACAATTTTATCTATGGCTTGTTTTGAAACTTATCTACTTTTTTTTTTTTTGAGACAGAGTCTCACTAAGTCGCCCTCAGTAGAGTGCTGTGCTGGCACAACTCACAGCAACCTCCAACTCTTAGGCTTAAGGTTACTCTAGTGCCTCAGCCTCCCGAGTAGCCAGGACTATAGGCACCTGCCACAACGTCCAGCTATTTTTTGCTGCAGTTGTCATTGATGTTTAGCTGACCCAGGCAGGTTTTGAGCACGTCAGCCTCGGTGTATGCAGCTGGTGCCATAACCACTATGCTACGAGCACTGAGCCAAAAGTTAGCTACTCTTAAATAAGAGACTAAAAAATATACCTTACATTTTTTCCATGAAAAGTAATAAGAACATAAATCTTCATTTTCTGATAACCGGATCTACTATTCAATTTGAGAAAGGTGATTCAACCTAACTTTATTTCCTCATCTCTAACATTGGTAGAACTAACTCAAAGGCTCCAATAATCAATTTTTTTTTGTAGAGACAGAGTCTCACTTTATCAACCTAGGTAGAGTGCAGTGGCGTCACACAGCTCACATAGGCAGTTACCAGATACTTAGAGGAGAACTAAAACCTGAAAACAAACTACAATTTTATACTAGCTAAATTATATATTTTTTAAGTTGCTAATACTCAAAGTTCCTAAAATTTCACTGAAGTTTATACATTTGTACACTGCCACAACAATATCCTACAGAGAAAAAAAAATTTCAATAACTAGACGTGTTTTGATTCAGTAAATCACTCAGGAATTTCCTTTTTTTTTTGAGATAGAGTCTCACTTTGTCACTCTGAGTAGAATGCTGTGGCTTCATAGCTCACAGCAACCTCAAACTCCTGAGCTCAAGTGATCCTTTTGCCCTCAGCCTCCCAAGTGGCTGGGACTATAGGTGCCGACCACAACACCCAGTTACTGTTTTCAGAGACCAGGTCTCACTCTTGCTCAGGCTAGTCTCAAACTCTGGCCTCCAAGCCTCGCCAAGAATTTTTCTTAATCAAAATATCAGCTGCATCACTACTTATTACTAAATAGCATTTAAAATGTTCATCTAATAAATTTAATGACCAAAAAAGCATAAATCATATGCAATAACCTCAATATATACCATAAATACAGATATACGTAGCTAAAGAAATATTTAAAGTTTTATTTGAGTCCGGGCGCAGTCACTCACACCTGTAATCCTAGCACTCTGGGAGGCAGAGGTGGGCGTACTGCTTGAGCTCATGAGTTCAAGACCAACCTGAATCAAAGCAAGACCTCATCTCTAAAAACAGCAGGGCACTGTGGCAGGCACCTGTAGTCCCAGCTACTTGGGAGGCTGAAGCAAGAGAATTGCTTGAGCCCAAGACTTTGAGGTTGCTGTGAGCTTTAACGCCAGTGCTATACTGAAGGCAATAAAGTGAAACTCTATCTCAAAAAAAAGTTTGCTTTGTGGCTGCACCTGTGGCTCAAAGGAGTAGGGCACTGGCCCCATATGCTGGAGGTGGTAGGTGCAAACCCAGCCCCGCCCAAAAAAAAGTTTGATTTGCTAGATTTCGAGAAAAGTGCTTTCTTTTCATTTTTTGAGGCAGAGCCTCAACTCTATTACCCCAGGTTAGAGAGCCATGGCCCCAGCCTAGATAAAAGTAATCTCAAACTCCTGGGTTCAATCAATTCTCCTGCCTCAACACCCCAGAGTGATAGGATTACAAGGCATGAGCCACTGTGCCAGGCTGATAAAAGTGCTTCCTCAATTTACTATTATACAAGTCATAAAAACTGAATGTATCCCTTTTAAGAATTCTACTCTTTAAAAATACAAAATTTGAATCTACAGATTGAAAAAAGATATCTTTGTCTCCAGGAAAAATTAAAATATTATGGCACACA